TTTTTAAATCTTATTAAACTGAACACCAAGCTTTTGTCAAAAATAAAGCCTTATCTTCGACACACAAATATAACGTGTACTTTATCTTTGATTACAAACAAACAAAGAAACAAAAATTAATAAACAAAGCCAACCACCTAATAAATAATATGTGTCAGTACTGGGTCAATAGTATGTAACAAGCATTACTTTTATTTGTATCAATACTACAGCGAGAATAAAAGTTATGCTTTCTTTCTTTGCGTGAACATTTGGGCTGTGTTATGCAAATCTTCCCACATCGTGACGTAGATATGTGGGGGCGTGTTAGAACGAGCCGTTTTAGGTAGGCGTGGTTGACTCTTAACTTTTATAAAGAATATCTCTTTGGATTTGAGACTTTAGTCTTTGCAACTTTACAGATCTTCTTTATGCACCAAGAGCTTGTAACACTCCAAAGAGAAAGGAAAAACTGAAATCGCATCATATGACCCCTTTAACAGTATACTAAATCTTTAGTTTTACAATAATGCAGCAGCATTAGCTATATTACTTTATACCACAATTAATTCCAGCCTCCTAATTTGATTGGTCAAGTGGTGTCCAAGTGTGCTCATATTTAGTATAATAGCACCGGCCATTTCACTATTTGTATCACTCCATCATATGCAGTGTTGGGCAAGTTAGTCTGAAAATGTAATTTCATACATTTCATGGAGAAAAAAGTAACGTAACTAGTAATGTAACTAATTACTTTTGAAATAAAGTAATCAGAACAGTAACGTGATTACTTTTAAAAGGAGTAATCAGTAATTTGATTACAGAGTAACTTGCCCAACACTGTCGGCTTGTAACTATACTCTAATTATAACGCGTTAAATTACTCTGTTACTAAAATAGTAATCAAATTACAGTAACGCGTTACTAAGTAATGTGTTACTGCCCAACACTGATCGTATGTGAATGGAGTTTTGCATGGGTGAGAAGTATTTTTTTTTCTTTAAGGCTGAAGCATCAGTGGAGTGCAGGAAATGAAAAATTTGAGCGGTATGAAAACAGAAAGCTTTGAGAAAAATGGCTCTGGCTCTGCTGTGGGCGAGAGGTGATATTGATGATATTTAGTATAATAGCACTCTTGTGTAGTTATCCCCTTCTTTTGACAGGAACATGGAACTACAAAATCTACCACCTACAAAAAAGTGTGGCTATATTAGATGTTAAATGAGAAGACTCCTTGTGAATGAACACATTAGTTGTTAATTAAATTATATTAAGTCTGCACAGGGATTACAGTTTACCATCAGACTCGGACAGAGTTGTGCCTGAGCGGACACAAGCTGCTGGAGGTCAAAGGGCATGTCCTTGGAAACGCTCCTCTGCATATACACAGAGTAAACAAGATTAAATAAGAGACAGATGATTAAAAAAATAGTTTATTTTGGTATCACTGTTTTCTGGTGCTTTCTTTGCTTTTTAAAACAAAAAGTGGAGACTGTGTCTGAATTACATTTACAGCCTTTACTGGAGGAAATATACTGTTCCAGTTATAATCACATCCAGTTCCAAGAGGTTAAAAAGCAATAACATTTATAAAGAAAGTAAGAAAGAAATCCGTTAAATGTTTTTAAATGATAGGCATAGTTTTATGTGAAAACAAAATAATTTGCACTCATTCTGTTTCTCAGAGATCTGACTACACAAAACTACCATAGACAATGCCATAGGAAATAGACCTGCTAAAAGATCAAGTTACCAGTTTTCCATCTCTCTCACCTGTTTTAGTCTCTTGACCTCCTGTTCCAGCTCACTCTCACGTGTTCGAGTGCTGTATTCTGATAGGCTAATGGAAGATCTGCGGCCATGCCCCATTCTTTCTGCCTCCAGCTTGTATATTTGGAGGTGCTCCAGTTCTCGCCGAAGGTCCTCAATTAGCTGAACATAAATAAAAGAGAAAACTAAAAAAATAAGAAAAAGCACTAGGCTACTAAACTGATAACATTACTATTTTATATGGGACCGTCAAGTACATGATTGCTACATAGCCTTTAGGCAGAATACAACATAAAGGTATAGCTCTGGACTAAATTAATATATTAATTTCAATATACTAGTGAATAGTCATCTCTATGTTTGTGTAACAACTTCTCAGTGTTTGACTTGTATGTGTGCATGTTTAGGCTATGTTCAGTTGTGGTTTTAAAGTACACAATTCTGTGTACTGAGGGGAGGCCAAATAAAGCTGCCCAATGCTCTGCCACCCTTTTTCTATCTGTAAATATTTTTGGGTGACTACATACATCTTAAAACAATTGGCACACAAGTAGACAACCTTAGCTTTTGACAGCTTGCGGAATAATTCAACTGTTTACTTTGTTGCCATTTCTGAAATTAACTGTAAAATTTTGCCCACTGGAAACTTTAGCATATGGTCTTACCTCCTGCATGGTATCTCTTTCCCTCTGAAACTCATTTCTGTTCTGTCGTAGCTTGTCCATCATCTTCTTGTACACATCCATCTCATCCTTCAACCGCAGGCTTGTATCCTCCAGCTTATCCGTCATCCGCTGTCTCTCCTTCATATACACAAACAACAATTTTATGCATAGTCAATTAGGTCAATTGCTGGTCATTTATTTATCTATACATTCACTATTGGGTAAATTTTTGTGACCCAATATTTAAAAATAAGTTTGATGTCATAATATTTTATTAAATCAGATACCATCAAAGCCTTGTTTTTTTCCAGCTTTGGTTCTATGGATGTTTAGAAAACACTTTTCACACACTATACTACTTTCATCATGTGTTCATGTAATTTTTTTTTTTTTCAGTTGGCAAAACCTTACAATCTTAGACTGGTCGAATTTAAACCATCATTTAATGTTTTTTTTTTTAAAGAATATTTTATAATATTCATCGATCCTCCACAAAAACACAAGACCGCCTCTCAAAATGACAAGATAGCTTTCATCAGTTTGAAAGAATAAGAACTCCCAGATAGCTTTGCAATACTAACAGGTGTTAGGAACTAATTTTGTTCAAAACATTTAAACAAACAGTACCATTACAAGCATTCACACATCCTCATTTGCATCTCCTTCAGCTTAAATCGCATTGTCTCTTAAAAACTTTAAGTCAGTTTATGAATAATAAAAATATCCTACCTCATCCAGTTTCTCTGTCTGAGCTTTCAGTCTGTTCATGTTTATTGCCATCTCTCCATTTTCCTCCTCTAGCTGGTATACTCTGCCAGTGGGAAAAAATAAAATAAAAACAAGCCATTCATCATACTCTTGCAATAAACCTTTACTGCTCTATAGCCCTAGGAATCAAAATCTCTAGATGAAGATTTCTGGATGAAATGTAATGGTTCCTTCAGTGGTTCAAATGTGTCACTCTTCTGTCTAACACCCTCATGAAGGACCCACTGAGATTGCTTTATAATGGAAGTGCATTAACATTGGAAGAACTCCCAGGAAGAGGAAAAAAATAGTGGGACAATGGAGTATAAAACCTCAGAATAAAATTAAAAGCATTATAGTATTTACTGCATGACAAAAGTAATAGTATTATTAGTATTTTTGTCCTGTTTTCCAATAAGAAAAACATTTAAACATCCAAAATACACCAAGACTTCATTCTAATTCTAATTTGCTTTCAAAACACACAATTACGTTTATTTTTCTTATCCCACAGGCAAATAAATTTCCATTTTTAGTTAGTTTTAATTTTCCCTGTTTAGTTAGATTTATGAAAAAGTATCTTGTTTTAAAGATGTTTGGATAATTTTACTGGAAAACAAGAAACAAAAATGCAGTTCTGGTCTTGGGATGTGCCAACCGATTTGTGAGCAGCTCTATCTGTGTGTTTTTGTCTTTCTCCAGTCGGCTGTAGGCCTCTCTGCATCTCCTGAGCTCCTCTTCCATCATATTCTCCGCTCTGGCCTCCTGGTCTTTTAGCTGCTCCTCCAACTCGTGAATCCTGTTGAAGCACAGTCCTCATCACCATCATAATTTTTTTGTCAGTACTGCTGAGGCCCACTTTGACCTTTTAGCATTTAGCAAATGCAAAACTTTTGTTAGGACTATTTTCATGGAAGGTTTTGCTAGTGGAAAGAATCTGCTCTTTAAAGAGACAAGTATGCAAATGCATGTGCATATAACACAGTTCCAATTAAATGAACTTTGTCTGCAGAGTGGGTGGTTGGACTCCGAGTAGCCATTTACCTGTGAACCAACTGTATGTTTTCCTGTTTCAGCTTCGACTTGACATCCCCATTCATCAGAATCTCATTTTCCAGCTCTGTCACTTTCTTGTTCAAGTAACTCACCTGTAACAAAGTAACAATATATGCAAATCTTACAGTAAGCATAACCCTTGATCTGCACATCCAAAAAAAAAAAAAGTTTTGCAACAACAATGCAGGTTAAAGGTTTGAAAAGTGTTTATTTGTACAAACCTATAGTGATCAGTGAAACAGAAACAAACAAAAAAAAAAACATTTGTTTCAACTATGAGCACTTTTGGCCATGTGGACATTTAAAATAAACACACTTTTCACACACTAACTAGTTTATTTAATGTGTATGCTAACAAGGTACAACAGTGGACATGTATCACAGCTGAATTCTGTAATTTTTATGAAACATCATAATCCACGATTTCCACCACAATGCTACTGCCATCGTATCTTGAATTATGTACTTATGTTCGTGTATGGTATTTTGTAGTAAAAATTACATTTTAATGTAATATTTGTGGTGTTAATAGTCCCCAAAT